AGCGCATATACTACACCTAAGGTCTACCGTAATCATCTATACGTAATAACTAATCTTACACCCAACCTGTCAGCTCAACATAACCTTACCCATCTCACTCACTTGGAACATAAAATCGTGTTTTTTCTATAAATCTCAGTCAAAGTTGAAATAAAGCGCCTCACTTACTTTATCTATCAAGCCACTGTGGCCACCTATACAAACTTATCTTTGCATTTTACCATAGCTAGTAAGATTAACCTACTCTTTAATAATTGCCTTAGCATTCGGTGATTTGTCGTACTATAACTGGCCCTTTATGGGTACGGCATTTTTTAGTGTACCCTAGTACTGCACTCTAGTGCATTAGGACAACACCTATTATTAGCCAAACCCATCCGTTACCTCGCTGTGCCAGTTGTACTTTTGGATAGGTCCACTTTATCCATTCATTAGCTTAAAAATGCAATTCCGCTCACCTGATCAATTGGCCCCTGTGCTTGGAATAATATCCGCCTAGCAAGGAGTTCTGCAAAAATACATCCAACCGACCAGATATCTACAGCACCAGTATACCTAAATCAAATTATAATATGTAAAATATGTATATCGATCGTGACACAAAAAATTACCTTCGAGCTCCCATCAACAATTCTGGAGCGCGATAATACTGTGTGACAACTTCATGTGTCATATTTTGCCGTTCCCTTGAGTCCCAAATTCTGGCCAAGCCAAAATCACAGATTTTAAGGATACAATTACTGTTCACCAGAAGATTGCCAGGTTTAATGTCTCTGTGCAGGATGTTAGCCGAATGCAAGTATTTCAATCCTGGAAAAAATGCGAATTAAACTTCTTGGAGTAATTTTCAAAATCTCATTCAAAAAAATTCCAAACAAACCTCTCAAGATCTGATAGACGAACACTTTCACATGATCAACAGTAAGCGGTTGTGGTGATACAATGATTTTGTGTAAATCACTTTGCATAAGTTCCGTTAAAACGTACCTGAAAAAAGCAAAAAGTCAGCCTTAAAGTCTCTTATGAAACCAAAAAAGACCACTATTTCCCCGTTATTGCTCTTCATTTGTGCCATGACGTGCTAGTCTCATTTTGTGCGCAATTGGCTTACATCTCTGTTTTGGTGAGGAGACAACGCTTTCGCGTCTTTATCGCGCTCCAATTGTAAAGATCACCATTTCGTCCTAGGATCTCCCGTAGGGCGCGTATTATTAGCGACGAAAAATATGCCCGTACCAAGTACCAATTCGTGCAATCAGCTGTTCTGAGAGCAAAG